GCCTTTCTGGGGAAGGTTCCCAGGGTGGGACCGTAGGCAGCGTCACTATCTCTGACCTTTAAGTCATAGCTGTGGAAAGTAGTTACTGCAGGGCCCTGATCTAAACTGTGCAGAAATTACCACTTAGCCACACTAGATGAATAGGTTATAGAGGAACCATGTTACTTTTGAAAGAGGTAGCTTTAGGCTGGAGGACTTCAGGACCAGCATGAAAGTAGTCAATCCTGTATTTTACAGTTACTTGGGATTTGGATTGAAAGCTGCAAGACTAGCAACTCTGGGAGCCCTGGAAACAGAAGGTTCGTCTGGGTACCTGTGCTGGTTGGGGTTTGGTGAGAGTGAACCCAATCCTCAGCTTGCCTTTACCCTCCCTTTGGCAATGATTCTGTGGAGGAAAGAGTTATGCTAAATTAGGAAGCACCAATATATATAAAAACCCAAGTGACCGGTTGATCGTTCGACCAGTAGGTATGATGTGCACTGACCACCAGGGGACAGGTGCTCAACACACAGGCATGAAAACATGGAACAGACTGATGAATCTCAGAGGGAAGGAGGGCGGGGGAGAACGAGAAGAGATTAACCAAAGATCTTATATGCATACTAGAGGCCCGGTGCACAGATTCAGTGTACGGATTCTTGCACCGGTGGGGTCCTTTGGCCTGGCCTGCAGGGATTGGGCCGAAATTGGCAGTCTGACATCCCCCTAGGGGTCCCGGATTGAGAGGATGCAAGCCAGGCTGAGGGACTCCACCGGTACACAAATTCGTACACCAGGCCTTTAGTATGTTATACAATGGACATAATAATGACAAATTCTTTTTTTCCTTTATGAGTTCAGATAAGTTTTGGTATGCATTATTAGTCATTTCTAGAATAAGGTCTGTTTGTATGGGGCAATAGCCTGTGGCCAGGAGCTGAAGTATCTACAGAAATTCAAGGCTCAGAGAGCAAATTTAGTAGGAGCTTACTCAAGCCCTTGGCTTTACATGGGAGATACAGATGCAGAAAAATCCACTTGCAGGGTGGAATAGCTGAGCAGCTCCATTCACCTCCTCACAGGTGGTAGAAGGGTTAAAAGCTTGGCTTTTTTTTTTAACCGAATCTTTTTCTTTGTATGTTTTTATTGATTTTTTGAGAGAGGAAAGGAGAGGGAGAGAGAGTTATAAACATTGATGAGAAACATCATTTGGCTGGGGATCAAGCCCACAACCTGGGCATGTACCCTGACCAGGAATCAAACCAGCGACCTCTTGGTGCATGAGTTGATACTCAACCACTGAGCCACATGGGCTGGGCAAGAGCTCAGCTTTTGCGGCCAGTTAGAATTGGGTTCAGTTTCAGTTTTGGGATTTGGGGCAAGTTAGCTACCTTTCTGTGCCCCTTTCCTCACCTTAAGTAAGATTTTACATTTAAAGCACTTTGTATTACTTTCCAATAATAGCCAGTAAGCTATTATTGTGGTGATGATTGTATAGCATTTCAGTTTATAAATGTGTTTCATTTAAGCCTCATAACAACCAATGAGAAAAGTAGAACAGTATTTCTCACCCCCCCCCCTTTTTTCTTTTAGAAAGGAGGGAACTTATTCCATTGTAGGTTTGGGATTTCTTTCAGATGTGATGAAAGCCATGAATCCTTCCACCAAATGCACATATGACAGAAATGTGCTCATAGTTTTAGGGGCTTCACCAACACCATGAAGCCCATCCGTGAACCCCTGTTAAGAATTCCTGTCCTAGGATGTAATCATGGAACTAATTAATATGATTGGAAAGCCCAGCCACCTTGGTGATTACTTTCCACCTTAGTGGCTTCTTGCTTGCCTCCCTCTCTCACATCCTTGCCTCTTACTTTGAGGTCTGGTGTTTTCCTTTCAGGAACTGAGGGACATACTTTTCGAAGTGCCTGTCTACCAAGATGGTTAGAAGCAGAGTGGATTTTTGGGGGCGTGAAATACCAGTATGGCGGCATCCAAGAAGGCAAGTGATGTTTTTTCACTGGTTGAAATTATTTTTACACTTGAAGTCTGGAGAAGTTCCATGTGAAACTTTTTACAGAGCTCAAGAGAAACTTGTCATATTGCAGAAACTCATTGCAGAGAGATATTGGTACACCTCCAGGAAATAGTGGGAAGTGACCGTGAACAGCTGTCATTCTGTTTCCCTGGCCCAGTGTTGTGGATTCATTAGACCTGGGGTCTCACGCAGTAAGGGTCTCTGCCCTCAGTGGGGTGAAACTGAGAATTGAGATGATAGGGAGAATAATTCACTTTAAGTTTTATAAAAGGCATAGACCTTGAAATCAAGAAGAACTTGATTTTTCTAGTAAAGGAAGCAGGCGAGCCTTCTAGCTACTTCTCATAAGCACATGAAACATACTGTGAGGCAGCAGCTCTAGGCTGACGGGGGTTGTTTTTGATGAGCACAGGTCAGGGAGGGCGCTTCATAGAGAAGCAGGTGCCTTTCCTCCGGACGGCGAGGCTGTGGAATTTTGTTCACCTCTGTAAGCCTTTTGTCCTGAGCCTCAGCTATCCTTGTTTCCTCCTTCTGTGTCCTCATTGGCTCCAGTAGCTTGTCTCAGAGAGTGGTCCTTCCCTGTCATTTTTCTCACCGTGTCCCTGTGCACTTTGCCCTGGCAGGGGAAGTGGGCTTTGAGCCCTGCTATGCTGAAGTGCTGAGGGTGGTCCAAGGAAAACTTCACCAGCCAGATGAGATCCAGAGAAGCTCCTTCTATGCTTTCTCTTACTACTATGATCGAGCTGTTGACACACACATGATTGGTAAGTTCACTCCAGGTGTCAGGTCAGGGAGGACACTGGGCAAGGCTCTGGTGGGAAAGGGAGAGGGATTCTCTGAAATGCTTGGTTGGAGGTGATCATCCTACTCTTCTTCAGTGCTGGTTGTTGAGTGGCGCTAGTTACTCGAATGGAAGGGGGCATATGATTGAGAATCTTTTAGAGCTAGAAAATGGCCTTAAAATTTTACATGAAGTCTTTTTTCTTTTTTATTGAGGTATCTACACTAATAAAAGAGAAAAATGGTAATTGGCGTACGACGCTACCCTTTTCATTGGCTAATCAGGGCTATATGCAAATTAACTGCCAACTAAGATTGGCAGTTAACTGCCAACAAGGTGGCGGTTAATTTGCATATGTAGGCACAATGCAGGGAGGCGAAGGGAAAGC